CCCCACCAACGCCCAAGTGCCGTCAATTCAAAGGGTTCCCCACACTATGCGGGAGGTAACATTCAGGCATAAGACCGTAAGACGAGTGCTCTTGTCGCTCGACATCAACAAAGCTTCTGGTCCGGACTTGATTCCTGCCATTGTACTGAAGAGATGTGCAGCGGAGCTTGCTCCAGTTCTTTCGCGTCTCTTCCAGATATCTTATGAATCCGGCACCTTCCCAGAAAACTGGAAATTTGCTCATGTACAGCCCATCCCAAAAAAAGGATCTAAAACCGACCCTTACAACTACAGGCCTATAGCTCTGCTTTCTGTTATAAGTAAAGTGATGGAGAGGTGCATAAATCGCGAGCTTCTGGACTACCTCGAACGTCACAGCTTGATTAGCGACAGGCAGTACGGTTTCCGGCACCAACGATCCACAGGGGACCTCCTAGCTTACGTCACGCAACTGTGGAGTAAACTCATCCAGTCTCATGGTGAGGCTCATGTCGTTGCTCTTGACATCACGAAAGCGTTCGATCAGCTGTGGCACGCTGCCCTCTTAAGCAAACTTCCATCCTACGGCCTCCCAGAAAAGCTTTGCAGATGGGTGGCTGACTTTATCTCTGGCCGCAAGATATCCGTCGTAATTGACGGATTCTCCTCTTCATCCCACAACGTCAACGCGGGTGTTCCCCAGGGATCGGTCTTGGCTCCAACACTGTTTCTCTTACATATCAACGACCTCCTTTCCTGCACGATCAACCCAATCCACAGCTTCGCTGATGACAGCACTCTACATGCAGGAATTCAGAGTGAAAAGCCGATCTCTGCCGCTGAGCTGGAAAAAAGAAGACTAGCGACGACTTCTTCTCTGACAAGAGACCTGGAGGCTATCACTGCTTGGGGACGCAACAATCTTGTACAGTTCAATGCTTCCAAAACACAGTACTGTACTTTGACGAACAAAAAGCGTCCTAGCGCTCATACAGTTTCGATGGACGGTCGAGTTCTACCAAAGAGCCATTCATTTCGGCTGGTCGGAGTCCAGATCACCGAGGACCTGATCTGGCACGAACACATCTCTTCAATAGCTGCAGCTGCTGGGAAAAAGCTAGGCTATTTGTTTAGGGCTAAGAAGTACTTTTCTCCGCATGACCTTCTCACTCTATACAAGGCCCAGATAAGGCCTAGCCTCGAGTATTGCTCACACATTTGGGGTGCTGCTGCCCCGACTACATTGTCCATGCTCGATGCTGTCCAGAGGAGGGCGGTCCGACTGATCGATGACTCTTCCCTAACAGACAGTCTCGGGACTCTTTCGCACCGGCGGGCCGTCGGCGATCTAGCTCTTTTCTATCGCTACACCAACGGGCTTTGCTCCTCAGAGCTCTCTTCCATGATGCCGCCGCGCGATGTGCCTGCCAGACAGACTCGTCTGACTTCGGCGTCCCATCCTAACCGTGTCAAACTTCGTACATCCAGAACTGGCCGATACGACCGCTAATTTGTCCCGAGGGTGTCTAGATTGTGGAACAATCTGCGGAAGGAAGCTTTTCCCAGTTCTACTAACCTTAGGCAGTTCAAAAATCGTATTAACAAAATTTCTTTGGGATCATCATAGCAGCCGCGGTGTTCCGGCATTTAGGCTTCTGCCTGCGCGGCTGTTTCGATATAAAAAAAAAATCCCGCAGCACAACAGGTGTAACGCGCCCCTCACGGGCTGACTGTGCCTGCGTGCCGAGGGTAGCGTTAGATGACGGAGATGCAGTGTTGCTGCCAGCCGAGGAAGCAGCTTGTGAGACTGAAATAGAGTTGCGACTTTCGTTTAAGCTAGGTGCTTGCATTTCAGAATGCTTTAGCTGGTTTGCAGAATCAGCATAAGAAACAGAGACAGGCGGTGTTATGTCCACTGAATTGGTATTGATTGGGGATTTCTTAGTCGGAAGGGAAGGATATTCGTTAATTTTACGAATATGCCGTTTTTTACGAATCTGGATAGGGGTAAAATTACTACCCTGTACGTCGTCTTCTGTCTATGTAGGTGAGGTAGGACTGCTGTTTTCTCTTGGGAATTTTAATAGAACTGTCATCACGGGACATGAATTTATTTAAAGAAGTACTAAGGCTGAAAATCTGGGCATTGTGATTGTCCACGCAGTCCGTCAGTCTCTTGATTTGAGCTGCCTGGTCAGCGATGATCTGATATAGCCTCTCCTTTTCGCTGTCTCTTTCAGTATCTGCAGCTGTCAGAGCCTCACATTATGGAACTACCTTCTGCAGACAGTTGTCGAATCTGGCTGAAAATTTAATCATTTTACTAATAAGAGAATTTCTCTTACTCAAGGGCTGACCCAGCTGGTGACGAGCCCTACTTTTTTCCCCCGCGTCTCGTCACACGCCAGTAGCCTGTTGGATCTCTTTCTGACCACGCATCCTGCCCCTTACAGCACTGCTGTCCTGTCCCCCCTGGGTAACTCAGATCACGGTGTTGTGGAGGTTAGGTTTCGGTCAGAAGCCGCTGTGGCAGCAGAAACTCGCACAGGCCGCAAAACTTGGCATTACGGACATGCCGACTGGGAGGGGCTCAGAGACTTCTTCTCTAGCTTTCCTTGGAAAGATGTCTGTTTCACTGACGCGGATGCGTCGACTGTCTGTTCTTCAATAACCGAAATTATCCACGTCGGAATGGAGGAATACATCCCTCACACAGTGAAAGTTCCTAAACCAGGGTCCAACGGCTGGTTCAACAAATCGTGTGACACTGCTCGCCAGCAGAAGATCAAGGCCCACAGAACCTACTTACAAAACCCCACTGTAGAGAACAGACAAGCCGACGTCGAGTCCAGAAACAAATATAACGAAGCGGTTCGCAATGCCAAAAACCAGCATGATATAAAAGTTAGGCACAGGGTAATGTCGCAGCGCAATGGCAGTCGGTCTTTCTGGACGCTGGCCAAGCAGATTGAAAAGAACTTCTCACACAGTAGCCTTCCACCACTTACGTGTCAGGATGGAACTATTGTATTCGACTCAAAGGCCAAGGCGGGAGTGCTAGCCAAGATCTTTGCTGCCAACTCCACCATGGACGTCCCCACCAACGCCCAAGTGCCGTCAATTCAAAGGGTTCCCCACACTATGCGGGAGGTAACATTCAGGCATAAGACCGTAAGACGAGTGCTCTTGTCGCTCGACATCAACAAAGCTTCTGGTCCGGACTTGATTCCTGCCATTGTACTGAAGAGATGTGCAGCGGAGCTTGCTCAAGTTCTTTCGCGTCTCTTCCAGATATCTTATGAATCCGGCACCTTCCCAGAAAACTGGAAATTTGCTCATGTACAGCCCATCCCAAAAAAAGGATCTAAAACCGACCCTTACAACTACAGGCCTATAGCTCTGCTTTCTGTTATAAGTAAAGTGATGGAGAGGTGCATAAATCGCGAGCTTCTGGACTACCTCGAACGTCACAGCTTGATTAGCGACAGGCAGTACGGTTTCCGGCACCAACGATCCACAGGGGACCTCCTAGCTTACGTCACGCAACTGTGGAGTAAACTCATCCAGTCTCATGGTGAGGCTCATGTCGTTGCTCTTGACATCACGAAAGCGTTCGATCAGCTGTGGCACGCTGCCCTCTTAAGCAAACTTCCATCCTACGGCCTCCCAGAAAAGCTTTGCAGATGGGTGGCGGACTTTATCTCTGGCCGCAAGATATCCGTCGTAATTGACGGATTCTCCTCTTCATCCCACAACGTCAACGCGGGTGTTCCCCAGGGATCGGTCTTGGCTCCAACACTGTTTCTCTTACATATCAACGACCTCCTTTCCTGCACGATCAACCCAATCCACAGCTTCGCTGATGACAGCACTCTACATGCAGGAATTCAGAGTGAAAAGCCGATCTCTGCCGCTGAGCTGGAAAAAAGAAGACTAGCGACGACTTCTTCTCTGACAAGAGACCTGGAGGCTATCACTGCTTGGGGACGCAACAATCTTGTACAGTTCAATGCTTCCAAAACACAGTACTGTACTTTGACGAACAAAAAGCGTCCTAGCGCTCATACAGTTTCGATGGACGGTCGAGTTCTACCAAAGAGCCATTCATTTCGGCTGGTCGGAGTCCAGATCACCGAGGACCTGATCTGGCACGAACACATCTCTTCAATAGCTGCAGCTGCTGGGAAAAAGCTAGGCTATTTGTTTAGGGCTAAGAAGTACTTTTCTCCGCATGACCTTCTCACTCTATACAAGGCCCAGATAAGGCCTAGCCTCGAGTATTGCTCACACATTTGGGGTGCTGCTGCCCCGACTACATTGTCCATGCTCGATGCTGTCCAGAGGAGGGCGGTCCGACTGATCGATGACTCTTCCCTAACAGACAGTCTCGGGACTCTTTCGCACCGGCGGGCCGTCGGCGATCTAGCTCTTTTCTATCGCTACACCAACGGGCTTTGCTCCTCAGAGCTCTCTTCCATGATGCCGCCGCGCGATGTGCCTGCCAGACAGACTCGTCTGACTTCGGCGTCCCATCCTAACCGTGTCAAACTTCGTACATCCAAAACTGGCCGATACGACCGCTCCTTTGTCCCGAGGGTGTCTAGATTGTGGAACAATCTGCGGAAGGAAGCTTTTCCCAGTTCTACTAACCTTAGGCAGTTCAAAAATCGTATTAACAAAATTTCTTTGGGATCATCATAGCAGCCGCGGTGTTCCGGCATTTAGGCTTCTGCCTGGGCGGCTGTTTCGATATAAAAAAAAAGAGACGTTGAACATATATGCCAAAAATTATTAAAATCTGATAAACATACGTAGGTGTTTACTTTTCTTGTCACTCAGTATATTTTTCTGATAACTATTATGACTTGGCCTATCCCCCGTTTCCGGCTTGACGTCGACTTCTGGGACACCGTGAAAGTAAAAGCCGAACATCCTCTTCGGCCAAAAAATTGACGTTCGGTTTGCTTTTCTGTGTTGCTTCCATGGGAATTATTTAACTCTTTTACTATTTTCGCAATCAGATATCGAGTCCGCAAAACGACTTTGACCAAACAGAAGAAGTAGACGACATAGAACTGATATTCACTACCGATGACACCAAAGATTCTGATTTCAAAGAGCAACTAGTATCTATAGATGCCGGCGAAAGCCTCCAAGAAGCGTTGAACCTTCTGCAACTGCCGTTGAGCGAAATCGATCAAAATATTGACGTATCGGATCGTGAATTGGAAGATGATGTTTTCAACGACGAAAACGTCGATAATACGAGTTTGCATCCTAACGATCTCAAAAGGGAAAACTCGCATTTGTGTGATTCAAAGTCTGATGTGTCTATTAACCAGGATAAAAGTATGAAAAGCTATTATTCTTTACAAGTAAGTGTTACGCTTTTGTAGCAAATTGGAAAGTTTTTTTATTCGAGAAAATAGTTGAATAAATATTTCTGTTTAGACTCCGTAAAAATCTCTTGTAAACGATGTTTGTATTTGCTACTCATTTTTTGATGAATTTAGTGTTTTTTGGAGCAAAACAATTGTTTTTTATAGATTCACGATACTTTTTTCATCAAACTAACGTTTTGGTTGCCTTGTATAAGTTTTGAATTCCATTTTGATTGTTGCTTTTTGTTTGCTAGCCGTGTTTATTAAAGTCAAAGTTGTTCACTAACGAATGTTGGAATTGTTGGAATATTTGTTATGTGAAAATAGTGTATTCATATGATCGCGACTTTTGAATTTTTCAAGGATTCCAGTTTCGAGAACAAGTCTTTGGAGAAAGACGAAAGTTTTGATAGGTTTGACGAAAAAGTTCGAATAGTTGAGACTGATATTTCTAAATGTGGGATTCACGATATAGAATACGTTACTGGTAGGAGAAATACCTGTCCAAACCCTATACAGTATAGACCTCTGTTGCACAGGTAATTTATATTTTTTTGTTTCACAAAAAGAGTCACTTTGATTTCTTTCTACGTATATGTCCAAGATGATGAATTTTTAGGGAAGCTTTATCCAAAGGACTCACCGTAGGGAGAAAAACTAGACCAATTTTGACTCACTCGAATGCAATAAGGAAAGAATCTGAGGCACAAACTGATATTTCTGCTCTACCTGGCTCTTCTTGGAGATCTGAAAGCAGTTTGGCTAGCAAAGTATGTATTTACACATATTTCACGTCTAACTCTTTACAGGATTTTCAATTTTTTCGGTTTTCCGAGCGTAGTCAAAGAAATCTTTTTTAAAAGATCACTTATTCCATCTGTCTGTGTGTCTGTCTGTCATCTAATTATTGGTCTTACTATACTTTCAAAAGTACCGGTCGAATTTTGACACAAGCTTACTAAAATGTCAAAACGGAAAAGCTTTTTAGTTTTTGAAAATCGGTTGCATCTTTGATATCAATTTTATTATTCAGGAACTTAGGTGATCCTACCCAAGAACACTTGATATCTTTTACCTGTTGAGGGTCCAATCCAAATTCAGCAAAGCCGATGACGCTCCAGTCGCAGCGTGATCGAGGTCGATGTCCAGACATTATGCACCTTATACAGGGTGGTCCAAATTCGATCCTCACCAGTGGGGTCTCGGAAACTGTAAGAGATACGAAGTCGCTTAAGTGGGGCAAAGTTGCGTATGGTAATCAACAAAATGCTGCTTAGAAAGTTTCGAAATTTAAAGTACTTCCAGAGAGAATCGGAAAAAACATAAACCGTTTTAATTGTTTCCTCACATTATTTGTAGTGGGGTTTCAATATAAATTACACATCAACATTGTCACTTTTTCTCCTCTACAAGATAGTATAATCAGAATTTCAATATGACATTTCGTCTCTTGTCCTCCATCATCAACTTTATTTTTTCTTATTTTTGCACAGATGAATAGAGCTTTCAATTCTGATTCCAAAAATGTCATACATTAGTTATTTAAAAAAAAGCGGAATTTCATAGGTATGCATTGAAATTATCAGATAGTCATTTCTTTCGAGCCGTATCGTCAGTCGTTCCTACAATTGTAGGACGCCTTTATGGCCTCCTTGATTTTCATAGATTTCTACGGTTCCGTATCAACGCTCTATTATGAGGTTATGTTACAAATAACTATTCGCATCAAATTGTTTTTGATATATCCTCTATTATATCAGCCTAAAATTTCCTATACCCTATTTCACGAGTATCCATCACAGTAGAATGACAGCAGATTATCTAGTAATATCTCAAAATTCCCCATATCGGCACAGGACACATAATTCTGACGGATCCGTCAACGTCAGTATTTTGTTTTGGTTTTTTGTACGCTACAGATTCATGTTGTACTTGTTAACGGTTCTTTTATTTAGAAAAATTAATTTGCATACAAAAAACAAAACTGTAAAAACAAGTTTTACTAGGTTTACACCAGATTCATTATTGCCAACTGGCAGACTAACACAAAAATGTCACTTGGTGATCAGCTGTTCACCTCAGTAGACGTCAAAGCGTGATGGATACTCGTGAAATAGGGACTACAATTACATAGCCTCATAATAGGAGAACGCTGATGCTGACACGGTACAGTACGAATCTAGAAATTCCCCAGCCTTTCTGACGCAGAGAAAAGACTATGAAAATCAAGAAGGCCATAAAGGCGTCCTTCAATTGTAGGAACCACTGTCGATACGGCCATTAGTATACTAGACTTATCCCAAAAACACTTTTATTTTTCCCTGACCTTATTTGAGATGGGCTTTTAAAATAAATTGCGTGTTGTCATTGTTACTTATTCTCCTCTACAAGATAACGTTGTCAAATTTTCAATTCGATATTGCGTCTCTCGATGTCTATCACCACCTTTGTTTTTTCACATGGACGCTATATAGGAATTTTCTATATCATTTAAATGGACTTTTCAGTCCTAAATGCAGTGATGTATTTCCTGAGTTGGTGAAACCTGAACACAAAATGAAAATTTTATTGATGATAATAACATTACTAATCGTAAATAAGCAGAGGTAAATCATTGCAGATGTTCAAAATGTTGCTCGGTGTTTTGTAGACAAAGCCTGACTCTTCACTGAATATTGTACACTGCTCGAGACGAAACATAATGAAACTCTAATTATTCCTTCTTATAGAGGACAAAAAGTGGGAATGTTAACTGAAGATTTATTCTGCGATTCCATCTCAAATAGAGTCAGGAAAAAATAAAAGTTAGTTTTGGTTAAATCTGGTTGCGAAACGAACGTCTATCTATCTCTAATTACAAGCCTTACCTAGGGAATTCTGCTTTTATTGAAATAACTAAGGTTTGACAATGTCAGTGTATGACGTATCCATACATTTTTGGAATCAGAACTGAAAGCTCTATTCATCTGTGAAGTCAAATATGGCGTCTATAAGAAAAAATAATGTTGATGCTGGAGGACAAGGGATGAAATGTCATTGAAATTCTGTTTATGCTATCTTGTAGAGGAGCAAAGTGTCATTATTAATGTGTAATTTATTTTGAAACCCCACTACATATAAAATCAGGAAAAATGAAAGCGATTTGGTTTTTTTCGACTCTCTCCGAAACTTTCTAAGCGGCATTTTGTTGATTACCTAAATACGCAACTTTGCCCCCATGTGGCTCTTGCAGTTTCCGAGATTCCGATGGAGAGGGTCGAATTTAAAACACCCTGTATAGTCCGGTTATTAAAGATATATACAGGGTTATCCAAATTAAGTGTCCACCATTACTAACTTTGTTATTAGTGAAAATACAAAGTTGTTTGAATTAGCAAACTAGTAGCATTTTTAACGCTGGTAAAAATGAGAAATAAAAAAAAACAATTGAGAGTCGTTATTTTGATTTTTTTCAGTAAAATAACATTTTTTTAAATGGAAACCCCTGTATATTATATTTTTTTCTGTTAAAGCATCAAATTTTAAACAAAAAAGCTTACAATAACTTTTCTACTAGGTTACAAATTGTTGAAGTTATGGCCTCCAATCTGAAACAATTAAATTGTATCGACAAACTTTATTTTCAACATCAACTTATAATCTTACAAAATACAATAACAATTTTTTTTAAAGAAGATGCTCGAAAACACCACCTTGTTCTTCAATACATTTTTGGGCACGTTTTTCAACTGCTCGAACTGTCTTAAGTATGGTCCTACCATCTATCTGGGTTATCTTTTCCCTAACTGCAGTCTTTAACGCGTCAAGGTTATCGTACCTTCGCTTGTAAATTTGGTTCTTTAAGTAACCCCACAAGAAGTAATCAAGTGGGTTTAGATCTGGTGATCTGGGAGGCCACTGTATTGGGCCATTTGTTCCTATCCACTGATCATTAAAAGTAGTACTTAGAAAATGATAAGTACCTCTGGAGTTGTGGGCAGGTGCGCCATCTTACTTATAAGATCCAATTCGTCTAAGAAATTAGTCAGAATTTCTGACATAAATTCCACATATCTTTCACCAGTTAGGGTTCCCTCATAAAAGAACGGGCCAACAATTTTTGAACCAATTATACCGCACCAAACGTTGAAACTGAAACGGACTTGTGGGCCTCTTGGATGTACTAACAAAAGATTTTCTCTTGACCAATAATGGTGGTTTTTGCTATTAAACATTCCAGAATTTGAAAAATTTGATTCATCTGTCCATAAAAGGTAACGAAAGTTATTTACATTTTGGCGACAGAAGCTAAGATACCAATGGAAAAAACAAGTCTTCTCTCTGGATCCCCTGCCAAAAGCGTTTGAACTGGTCGGTACTTATACGGAATAAATTTGTATTTTTTTAAAATCCTTTGAACAGTACCATAACTGAAATTAGAGTCCTTGAGAATATCTGCTATTGAATTCTCACGATAAGCTTCAAAATATCCAATAACTGCAATTTCCGTGGCCTCGCTTATTATGAATTCTTTTTTTGCCCTTGTTTTAGCAAAAACATTTTCGTTGCCCCTAAATTTTCGATAAAGTCTCAGAAAATATCGTTCATACGGTTGAATGCGAGCGGGATATAATTCACTGTAGTATTCTCTTGCTCTCAAGGAGGATTTTCTGCACACTAAATAGCATTCTAACATATCACACTTTTCTTCATGGGAGAACATTTTTCTTTAAATTAATGACACATTAAAGCTTATAAACAAGTATTTACACTAATGTTTGACATTATTTGATTTTATCATTGTTTTCCAAAGCCTTCTAGTTGCGAGTATGTCCAGTTTAACAATTTGTCGCTTATCTTAATGCTGTCAAATCGCGAACGCCATGTTGTTTTCATAGCCGTCTTAATATTATAATACTGCAAATAATTAAAAATATTTATCGTTATTTTGACTTTATTTTTGACTTTAGCGGAAAAGTCATTATGAACTTTTTTGTTTAAAATTTGATGCTTTAACAGAAAAAAATATAATATACAGGGGTTTCCATTTAAAAAAATGTTATTTTACTGAAAAAAATCAAAATAACGACTCTCAATTGTTTTTTTTTATTTCTCATTTTTACCAGCGTTAAAAATGCTACTAGTTTGCTAATTTAAATAACTTTGTATTTTTACTAATAACAAAGTTACCAATGGTGGACACTTAATTTGGATAACCCTGTATATATATATATATATATATATATTTGCATTTCAATTATATTTATTGTATAACATATCCAGCACTAAGGATTTCCATGGCCGACAAATATTAAAGATGCCAGAACGTAAGAAAGTTGGCTCTATTACTACACAAGGCGCATACTTAAAGTTCTTTTGAAAAAATTGCATGTATCTAAGTATAGAGTCTATATACTTGACGCAATCTTGCCATATTCTTACGTGCTGAAATTTTAATATGATATAATTATGAAATTCTTGTTTCTCATTTCACACGATTTCCATATTTTTAAAGCTAATTTCACTGGTCTATTAGGGGCGCTTAGGTGAGAACTTCCCGACTCTCCCGTCAAAATTTCCACTGCCCGGTTCTCGACTGAGACTGTCAGAAAAAACGGTGGAAGCGCGCAGAGTTCTACTCTCAGACATCGGCTTCACCAGCATGGTACCGGAGCTGTCTCGATCTGCTGACCACCTGTTCCCGCCTGCCTTGAGGCCCCCTGGGCCTGCACCTGCTTACGGACAATACCTCAGGACTACGGATCTGTATTCGCCCGGATATGCTCCGGTCACTGTAAGTCACAAAAATTGTGAATATATACGGAGCTTTCCAAAGGTTGCCCCAGAGGCACATAAGTCACGCAAGGGCCTCCGGGCTCGGGGCCTGCGACCGAAAGGACCCCAGGGATCTACTTGGTTAATGAGGAAAATTGACAGATATTTGGAAGTCAATTTTGTTTGATTTTGGATCATTTGGGGGGCCATATATAAATCCTGAATAGAGTCCGACTTATATTTTGTACGATTTAAGCTAGCAAGATGAAATCCGGGAAAATAACAGTTTAAAATTGCAAGATGGTGGCTGGGCTCCATCTTGAAAGATGTTTTATTAAAAAGGAATGGAGGACTGCGGACTGTCAAAGTTGAGCGATTTTGTACATTGTAAAATATAGTACATTTAGTTTAAGAAAATGCGAGCGTTTGATTTTTTAAATGAAGTAACGTACGTATAGCGTATAGATAAGTCAAAATGAAGTGTCACATGGCATACCGCTTCAATTAAAAAATCCAAGATGGCGTCCAGACACCATCTTGAGAATTTCAGCTGCTACTTTTCAGCATGCTGATTTAATCGGCTATGATAGTAAGTAAGAATACCTTTTTGAAAAGCACTTTTGGGCGGCATAGATGAGTTTTATAATAATAGAACAAAACTTATGACTGATTTTGTGCTGCTCCCCAAGATCTTGTGATCTCACAGCTTTTAAACAATTTATGACTTATCATATAAATATAGCTTAGTAGAAGCTTTGAAAGTCCATATTCGCTGTGTTAGTGCAAGTTTCTTTATGGATTATGTCCCAAATTATCATATTATCAATATTTTGCATCTAAACTTCACATATTTTTTTTCTATAAACATAAACTAGAAAACTTTCCATTTAAAATTCAAGCTTAAAATATCGTCCTATTACGTAATAAATCCAAGCGTGATGTATACTTTATCTGAAGTCACTTGAAACACTGTGAAATACCGGGTGCGTTTTATATACGTATATCCATATTTAACACGCTCTGTTGCTGCAAAAATCGCCAAATTTCGCAGCAAATATCCCCGTATAAGATCAAAGGCAGTTTCACCGGTCCACGTGGAGTAAAGCACGCCTATGCGTGGACATAGCCAATGAGAAAGCGTGTATTTCAGAGCTCGGAACAAGTGCAGGTGGCTACTGAAAATTGAAACAGTTTAGCCAGTGCCGTGTAGTGGTGAATAAACGTGTTTTCTTTAGTCTGTCCGTGTTTTTTCATAGATTTTATTAGTTTGTGTGTTTTTGACTTTTGAATACTCAGTTTACTTGTTGATTTAATTGTTGTGTTGATTGTTCTTGTGTGTCCTAAATATGGCTCTTTGGAGACCTTGGGAAAATGCTCCAAGCCACGAGGAGATGGTTGATGAACCTGTGCAGGCAGAATTCTTTCATGAAGATATAGAGGAACAGACCCAAAGAGTAATCCTAAATATGTATGATTGTCTGAAAAACGAAAATCCAGATTCCTCGCAAAATCAAATTTTAAACAGAATTTGTATCCTGACAAAAATTAGTCGGTCTACCATTTATCGGGTTATAAAAAGGGGAGATGTAGTCAACCATTCCTTCCACAGAAAGCGCATAGGGCAAAAATTAAAAAGAATAGACGTGGGTTTTCAGGAAGATATTCATCGTATAATATACGGATTTTATAAAGAAAATTTGGTGACCACGTTGGAAATGATACGGGATAAATTAAAAGATTATCCTGAAGATTTTTATAATTACAAATGCTTAGACTCACTGCACTGTATTGTAAAACTGTGTGGTTTTCAATACAAAAAATTAGATAAAAGAATGGTGATTATGGAGTCGTCTCGAATCGTTGAATTGCGCCAAGAATTTTTGCACAAAGTTAAAATCTATAGAGAGCAGAAAAGAAATCTGATTTACCTGGATGAAACGTGGTATGATACCCATGATGTTGTGCAGTACGGCTGGGTTGACGACAGCAACAAGTGCATTTTAAATGCACCATGCAACCGTGGAAAACGAATCATTATTCTCCATGCTGGCAGTGAAAATGGATTTATACCTAACGCCTTGCTGTTATCTGCCAAAAATATCAAAGAATCATGTGCCGACTATCATGAGGACATGACCTCCGACTTATTTGAAAAGTGGATAGAGCAGCAGTTAATACCAAACATTTCCCCAAATTCAGTGACTATTATGGACAATGCGCCATACCATTCCCGACAGAAAAACAAAATTCCGAATACAGGCACAAAAAAACAAGACATTATTGATTTTATGAAGGATAAGGGAATGGAAATACCACAAAAATCAACCAAAGCCATATTATTGGATCTTATTAAAAGACAAAAATTTGAAAAAGAGTATGTTGTTGACAATCTGCTTCAGCAAAATGGCCATGAAGTATTACGTCTACCTCCCTATTACTGCATTTTTAACCCGATTGAGTTGGTCTGGGCTGCTTTAAAAAAAAAAGTAAGAAAACATAATCAGACCCCTCAATTAAGTGAATCGCTATTGGCCACAATAAGAGATGCAGTATCTCATATTGCTGCCACAGACCTATGGAAGCAGTGTTCTAGGCATATTATTGAAAAAGAAAATGAATATTGTGTTTTGCCTCCTGTAAATCCGCACGCCTATGATACGTTATGAAATTACAAAGGACGCGCCGACCAAAGGTTTTTATGCTATTTCAAGTGACTTCAGATATACCATAAGTTTTTCCGCGCTATGGCCTTAAAAAACGTGATCCTTGTTACCAATAAGGTAAAGTATCCATCAGATATGAGGAAATAACCTTAATCTTTGACATTGACAGTTTGACGTAAAATGTCCATTTTAACGATATACGGCATAATCGATTTCTATTGTCTGTTTGCTATAGCGGGAAATACAGAGACTTCGAAACGAATTCGTTTACAATGAGCTGATTACCACTTTCTCATCGCACGAACGAAAAAACGAAGATAGGCATCATCTGAAGACATGAACATATACAATCAAATTTAGCTATAATAGATGCAACTTTTGTCTAATTATGGTTCTCTAATATGTCTCCAAAATGCACCGGATACTTTCTCTCCTATCTGTTTCACATACTATTTGCATTGTTTTCTCCAGTCCCCAGGCAAACAGAGCTGTTGGACGGCTTCCGTGTCAGCGAATACCAGCGGCGACCACTCGCACTACGGCAGCACCACCTACCCTCTCAACTCCCCGCCAGTGCCATCATCGCGCCGTTGCTCCGCCCCTGTGTCGCCTTCGCGCCGCCCACATCTCAGGCCACGCCCCTCATCGTCAGTGGGCGGATCCAGAGTGAGATTCGCTAACGGGTCACTGCCGGAGTTGCGCGCGCATCACGGCGGCGCATCTGGCGAATGGGACAGCGGAGATTCTACGGATAGTTTAGTCGAGGAGGCGGAGACTTTCTTGAGGCGGTCCATAGATTGTATCGTTACCGGGAGAAGCATGACGGGGCATGCCAGGTAAGAATTGTGAGATAATTTAGTAGTGTTATGCTTAAGAGCTTCATTTCTCTGCCCCTGTGTCAGCATGAAAAGTATAGGCTACTCCCCATCCTGGTCAGAGGGTGGTTCTAGAGTCCGATTCTCACTCTATCGCCGTATTCGAGCCTTTGGACTTTTTTCATACCGTCCACGGTTAGCGCTTCCTCTGACTGCGGACCAATAACGTCAACGTTTGAACTGGAGCAGAAAACGGCAACATTGGGAGGCAGAATGGCATAATGTCATATTCAGGGACGAATTCTGTCTTTAGGTACGCACGTTGTTATCGTTTCATTCTTGATGTAAGACTATCTCATTGCCAAAAAATCAAGTTGAAGAAATTATTTTTTTTGGGTGTACACTTCTAGTGTTACTGAGTATATAACATGGAACTCTGTAGTTGACTTTTTCGCTTTTTTGATTGAATTCCTTCATCTTCATCAATGCATGTCTTCCGATAATAATGTAGTTTGTATTTATCACCCTTTCAAGATAAACACCGCGAAAAGGGGTGTTATTATGATGAGGAACGATACGAAAATCCATTAATCACTTTTCCCTTTACTGAAACTGGAACATCGAACAGGTCACGAAACGTGCATCGCTCTAGATTGCGTGTCAATTATGCAGAAATCACTTGAACGCTTGGCTGTGAAGTGAAGCCGCAAAAACTTCGCATGCTTAAAGTAATCTCGGTGTTTTCACGGAATTTCGTGGACCGATATTTGATACTTCGGTATTGGTCTTGCAAAGGATTTTTAAGATGTTGGTGTAGAAGGCCATGGGCCCGCAGGTGAGGGCTGGGTGGGTCGTTTTCTTGAAGTTTAATTTTACTTTGTTTAAATATTGATAGAATACCGGTGTACCTGTCTTGCGTGAGGGTACTAACAAAAATATACTTTTTTCATAGTTGGCGCTGCGACGATCCACCAAATTTCAACGCTATTACCCACCTGTTTTTTTTTGTCACAGCCACTCATCTGACCACCGCACAGGCTCCGGCCCAGTACCCCGACGTCTCTCCGCCCCCGAGCCTCAACCGGATACGGCGCCGCCGCCAGGTTGGCGGCCCTTCCTACCTAGAACCGCCACCGATTTGCGACCCGAACATTGGGTGAAGGTGATTGGCACAGGAGGTGGGATCAGAGGTGGGCGTGTCAGGTACGTCGGGCCTGTGATTGGCCAAGAGGCAGACCACGTGGGTGTGCAGCTGGCCGGACCGGATGGGATGAACGATGGGACTTTATCAGGAAGGCGGTATTTTCAGTGGTAAGTGGTTAAGGATGGTTAAGGCGGCTGGGTGGAAACCTTGCCAACACAAAACTGTTTCGAATGCGAGCTGGAAGAGATGGAAAGAAAGGTGTGGCAAAGAACCCCGATTCACAAAAAAGGTGTGGAATCCTATATACAGTGCTGGCCAAAGTCGTGTTTCCTTTTAGATTTCCATGTTTTTATACCCGAGGCAGCTGCGCAGGCACCTTGAAGAAACCTTATTTATCGAATGAATAGAACTGGAAAAAACCTCCTCGGGTAGATTGTTCCACAATATCGATACCCTAGGGATAAAGGAGCGGTCGTATCGGCCAGTTCTGGATGTACGAAGTTCGGCACGGTTAGGATGGGTAGGTCGCATTCCGTGATATATTCGTGCCAGATTAAGTCCTCTACTCAGACAAGCCGAAATGAACGGCTCATTGTAGAACTCCATCTAAATCTGCTCTTTTTGTTAGTCAAGGTACAGTTCTGTATTTTGGAAGCATTAAACTGTACCAGATTGTTGCGTTCTCAAGCGGTGTTAATAAAACCTCCAGATTCTTTTGGTCAAGGAAGAAGTCTTCTTTTCGTCATCTGGTCGGCAGAGACCGGCTTCTCATTATGAATTCCTACATTTAGAGTGCTGTCATCATTAAAGCTGTGGATCGAATTGATCGTAGGTACAGCAGAGGAGGTCGTTGACATCTAAGAAGAACACTGTCGGAGCCAAGCCCGATCCCTGGAGAACACCCGCGTTCACATTGGGGGATGAAGAGAATGAATGTCTTTTGAGCCACCTATCTGCAAAGATCCTCTGGAACGCCATAGGATGGAAATTTGCATAAAAAGGCAGCTACCATAGCTGATCGAACGCTTTCATGATATCAACAGCAACGACATGACCCTTATCATAAGACTGGATAAGTTTACTCCACAGTTGCGTAACGTGTAAGCTAGGAGGTCTTCCGTGGATCGCTGGTGCCGGAAACCATACTGCCCTATTTCACGAGTATCCGTCACGGTAGAATGACAGCTGATTAATGATTATATAGTACCTAATATCTGAAAATTCCCCATATCGGCACAGGACACATCGGTAATTCTGACGGATCCGTTAACGCCAGGTACACAGAGCCGAATTTTGTTTTGTTTTTTTGTACGCTGCAGATTCATTTTGTATTTGATAACAGCTCTTTTATTTAGAAAAGTTTTTTGCATACTGTGACAGATAGCGCCATCTGTTGGGCGAGTCTCCTACTCGCCAGAGCTTAATTACCGATCTCTGCTATTACACGACCGCACAAGCCGCCTGGCGGCGTCTGTGAGGACCGTGACAGTGGTTCGCCTTCTAGATCGACTCGAAGTGATCTCCAACATTCTAGATATCGCTTTGTGATCTTTCTCGAAGCGGTAATTGGGACTATATATAACTCGGCGGCCGGGAGATGGAGGCAGAGTACTGAATACGGTATAGTAGCAGAGCGGGGTGAAGTATAGTACAGTAAATGGTGACATAAGAATTAGTCAGACATAAATAGTGGTGTGTTATCACGTCAAATAAATTAGTGGAATCCAGTATTTTAATCCACACCCAAAAGAACCCAGAAAACGCTACAATACAAAAAAACAGAACCCCACAAACAAACTAGATTTATACCTGATCCATTATTGCCAATGTTGCAGACTAACACAAAAATTTTATTTGTTGATCAACTGTTCACCTCAGTAGACGTAAAAGCGTAATAGATACTCGTGAAATAGGGTATAATACGTTGCACGCGTCTCTCTCTCTCTTACAGATGGCAATCTAAAAAGGAAAATGGTTTTGGACAGCACTGTAGATACAATTCTCTAATAGGGAATATCAAAATATCGAAAATACTCGTGCGTAGTTTTGTAGAATTTTTTGATGTATAATGCTCTTAAGCGAGGAATAATACTCATCTTTCTTTCAGTGAGCCCTACCATGGTATATTTGTGCCATTTAAGAAAGTAATCATGGGATGGAGACCATGAAAGCTGCGATAAGATTTTGGGAAGTACTACTAAAAATAACACAAAAATGTGCCATAATATAATAATTGACGTGAGAGTATTTATAACTTATAACGTTTTTCGGGCCTATTTCTGCCAGTTAAGCCCAAATTCTCATTCGAGAATATAATATATAATATATGTTAATCTATCTCACTTCACGTTTCGTAAGTTTTATATGAGATTATAGCCAAAATACTCTTTGTAACAAATTAATATAATGGAAATTTTTGACCAACCTGAAGAACATTAGTTTGAAGATCTCAGCCATTAATCCAGTTGTTGAAACAAATGTGTTTTACATAAAATATACCTGTTTTTTTACACTAGGATTACCATTTGTCGTCTCGGCACATCAAAGAATGTGTTGAAGATTGAGTGCTCTTTGAGAAATAATCTCTCCTTGTTGAATTTTAAACAAACAATACCGCTTCCTTGAGGAACGTTCAAACGTGGATTTATCGTCAGTTTCATTTTCAAAGTTTGGAAAATTTTCAAGATTTTTGAAATGAGCATGATTTTCTACATTTTCGTGAGCTACCAAAATTTTTGAATTTCACAATTTTTAAAATTATCACAACCTTCGAAATTTTCAAATATTAATAAAACATCGAAATGTTTAACACTTTCAAAATTTTCGGAATCTCCAAAACTAAAAATTTCTAAATATTTTGAAAATTCCTAAAATTTTGTAAATCTTGAAAGGTTGGAACTTGAAAATTTTAACACTTTTGAAAGTCTTGAGAATTTTAAAAATCCACAAAATCATAAAAATTTTGGAAACTTTGGACATTCTAAAAATTTAGAATTGTCACGAATCGAAAATTCTCCAACATTTCAAAACCTGTGATGACAACTGAACTGCTACGGTTTAAAAAACGAGACGCATTCGTTGCTCTGTATCATCTGTACAGTGAAAAAGATAGATTGTATTTTTCATGTTCAAATTTTTACATAATCATTGCTTAGCGCAAACTCATCAACCATTGTGAATCTAATCATTATAACCATCATACGTTTCTGTGATCCTTATTTGTTGTGTGATGAATGCCTAAAAAATTTCTATTTTATAGAAAAAGTAATTTTGTTGTTCATTGTAGCGTATAATCAAAAAAGTTAGTAAGAGTTTATAAATGTGTAGATCTATTCCTATAATATTTTTCCATTTTGTGTCAATTGTATAAACTGGAGTATTTGTTAAGTAGATATAAATATCCTGTGTGGAATTTGTAACAATTGAATACCTATGTGTTGACTGTTAAGTTTTGGATCATTTTATTTTAGTCATAATGCTTAGGATACGAGTTGAAACTTCCTTAATAAAAGATTTTCATGGAATGCGCGTTCTTTATTCTAGAAGTATAACTTTTAAAGATTGTAATTACACATTCTTTCATAATTAATTTAAATAACTGATCTTCCTAATAAATTTAGAAGAATTAATGAAAGATACAGGTGTGGTACCTACCTAAGGTCGACTTGAAAAATTCTAATCTCAATACTCAGCTTCATTTTATGCTCTCAAAATTCTAAATACAGCATGTCTATCTTTTTTAAGGCCTAAGGAATCTATTCATGGAATTATATACCTAGAGCTTAAAATTAACATTAAAATTGAGGGTGCATGTGCTCTCAATTTTTAGCATTTATTATAATATAAGAGTCTAAATATGCAGGCAACTACTGGAATTGTATATTTTGATAACTTGAATGCAGTATCTAGAATTATCTTGATTAAACCCATCATTTCAATTGTAATTATGTTTGGACATAATGTGTTTTTTTTATTCCTCCATTACTATTTGTTGAAGTTTAACCAAGGTGATTCTACATTATCATCCTCAGTATTAAGAGCCAAAGACTTCAAAATTCTATTTACTAATAGAAGATTACAGGGCATGTTTTAACAATAAATATCACATATCAAATACTGGTTTTATTCCAAATACCTGCATTTCCTTGGAACTTTTTTCATTATGAGTAGGAAGGTTGTTAGACATAAAAATAAAATTACCAGATGATTTTTTTCATTTATTGTTTTAAAAAAATCATATTCTACTTTCTCTGTTGAGCGTTAGCCCTGTTGTTGTCACGACCTGGGAAGTTCCTCTGGGGCGGGGTCCTAATCCTCCTATCCTTCTTACTCCTGTTACGCACTACTTTGCTGTGGATAGCGCAAGATACACAGTAGTGTAACTTTGCATATAACTTTGGAAGGACATACTCTGAAACAAATAAGGCACAATAAAGTTTTGATACATACAGAAATCCTAGTGTTTATAAAGGACATGTAGAAAAGGCAGTAAACATGAATCCAGGAAACAAAGTAAAAAAAAATACTTACGGGTGTACACTGAGGCTTCAGTAATATCCCTAACAGCGGCAGCTTCGACGATATTCCTAATGACGAACTTTTTGATAGCTTTGTCTTTAGGAACGCATCTGGCGCAATTGGTGCACCTTACGGGTTTCACATGTCCACGGCCGTGCTTTGAACGTCCTCGATTACGCCTTTTGCAAGTCTGAAATATTGAAGGAATTATGGAAAAACGTGTTGGAAGCCATGTGAAGAAATATTGAGGTTAAGTTGTAAACTCATGGAGTCCGTTCGTAATTTTGCTGAAATTTGGGATTGCTTACGTCTTGAGATGATAAAGAAGAATAATGGGATCTAATAAATGATAGGATAAGGTAATTTTGAGGTAATATATAGAAAAATTAGAATTTTTACCATTTTTTCCTGTTGTATAAACGAGAACCGAAATAAGAGGACGACTTGACAGATAGACAGAAGACCTGTCATTTCTGTCAGAAACTTTGGGGTCATTCTGTTAATGCGCGACTAGGAAAAGAGGCGTGGTCTTATTTAGTGTAAACCACGCCTACTTCAGAGAGTACACGTCCTCAATATCGCTACTGAGTGAAAGTGAAAAAAACGCCATTCTCGCCCATGATGCATTGACCTATCGAAAATATTCGGTATCGAATCGAAAAACATTAATTGCGTTCGCGGGTCAAAAAATGAACCAGTTCGGAACTAAAACTGAACCATCCAGAATTACACAAATGCGCATGTCCAATTATTTTCTAGTTCGAGATTTTCGTTTACCGCGAACGACTTTGGAACTGTTTGCGTATTCAACACTGTTGCCAATTTGCCCTCTATTTTGTGCTGTTACCAAGCTGCTATTCGATTGACACTATTGACAGCTTCCAAGTGTTGTCGGTACTTCAATAACTTCCAATAGTTCTTCCAAATCATCATCACTAAACGATAAATGGTCCGACATCTTAAGCACAAAATCTTAAGCACTGAATCTTAAGAACTTGAGATGGAACACATAAAACATATGTATGGAACAGCAAGCACAGGGGACAGATTTTCAAAGAATAGGAGTAACACGTTAAACCCGAACAGAGGCAGCGGAAGATGATGAAATATCAAATGTCCATGTCCATAACGATGACCATGATCAGCCGGATCGAACTTTTAGTCTCACCAAAAATCTGAGAACCGTCAGGACCAATTCGGAATCAGTTCTGTACCAATTCGATATGATCCGCGAACGCAGAACTGTAACTAAAAATTCAGAATTTTCTTACCGCGAACGCCGATTTTTGAAGTGCGCATGCGAAGTGGTTCGGAATCAATCCCGAATCAGAACCGCGAACGAAACTATTACCTACCGTGCACTTATGCTACAGCCACACTTGAAGGCGAATATTCGTTATCGAGTTGTCGCGATAAAAGTTCGTGGTCGATCCATGACGAAGCGCAGGCCACATAAAAAAAAACTTCACTACGTCGCGATAATTCATTTAGCGGGAAACATGGAAGAGGTGGTTGCCCTGTATTACATGGCGGCTAATAATTATTTACTGCATCTTTATTAATTGAAGAAAAATAAAAAGGTCAAAAAGAGGAAAAAAAGGCGGTTGGTGGATGTAGTCTACACACAAAAATCGGTTTGGTAAATGTCGTCCTTGCCTGCTTCAGACTTCAACGATTTTTCATATGCGTCATATAATAAGCCATTAGATAATTCATTTTTGCTTTTAGTTCCGCAGCCAAAACAGACCAGCTTAAATTAGCTTTAATTCTCACCCATGCGTCGTAATTCTAATGTTTTTTTTGTTTGGCCCTTGCGGGTTCTGTAAAGCTGATTCAGATTCGTAATTTTGTATGAATTCTAATATCCTCTCAGTACTCCAAAGCATATGATCAACAAGTTCAATCAAACAGGTTCACACCGCTCGTCGTCTCGCAGCCAACTGAAGCGCGCGAAGTGTGGCCAACCATGGGCCAACCGCACGAATTTTGTCGCAACAAAACCCTTTGATGTGCGGCAATTTACCGACAGCGGTGCGAAGGGTTTTCGTATTCGCGAAGACGATTCGCGATAGGATGAATTCTTTGGCCAGACGTGTCGCGACAACGCAAATCTTCGCATTATTGCGATAGTGTGGCCCCAGCATTAGGGTTGCCTATTTATTGTGGTTTGGTTTTATAATAATCAAATTCAAGCGGATAACCAAATGAAAATGGTATTTATCATTTTGGGTTGGTATTTACCGATCCGTTCAAGCGAGTGTGGTTATCAGCATGGTTATAAGATCCGTGACGTCATGAATCAGCTGTTATATGTCATAGTTATCACCGCAAAATTGTGGTATTTACCCAACTCGGGAGTAGTTTTATATTTCTGGTTATTATTTGAAATGTGACAAGTTTGAATTTTGCCGGGTATTGGATATTGTTATTGCACTTCAGCTTCATTTTTGGGAAACTTGATACAGGCTGACTTCAGTTTTACCATAAAGTGGAGCACCTTATTAGTTATACTCATTACTGTTGTTGGGGACACTTTAAATGTAGTTCCTAAGCTTAACAAAGTATCCTGTGTAGCCATATACCACAAGAATATTAAAATATGGCCATATAAACTCTCTAGATGATGTCAACCTGTATACGGTTTTGCTAATTTATTTGTTCATCATTTCTGCTGAATCAATAAATGTTTTCATTGACATGCGAAAAACTTTAGAGAATTGAAAGTTATCATAGCTACAAAGCTATGGTTCCATCATTAAAAAAAAATCTGAAAAAAACATTTCTCCCATGAATATTATGCATGGTTTCTTATTTAAACTTTCCATTCACAGTTGTAGACGAAAAAGCACCGATTATTAAGTGATAATAAAAGTAATCAGAGATTATATACGCGCTTTTCTAAAATAAACAACTTGCAACAAAACCGCGGTTAAAACCAACGCGTTCAAGCGATTTGTGTAACTGACGTCATCAACCCGTGTGTCATCTTGAACCATATTATAACCGCGGCACATGACACAGAAATTTTGGTTATTCGCTTGGATTTGATTAATGTGTGCTCTGTGCTTATCTGCTGAAAGTGTTACCGAACCTACCGATGTTTCGGCATTTCGAACGATGTCTTAAAAGAATTCAGATGTTTTGTCAAAAAAATGCTGGAAGCAAAAATGAAGCCAAAAAAATTAACACGTAGTTTAATGCGACATACCAATCATACATATGCGTACAGTCGGGCACACGAGGAACGTAGATTTGGATTGCCTATAATTATAGACGAACTTCTCCGTGTTCATTTTTATGCGTACAACAGGTACTTACAGTCTGCTGGATCACTATTGCCTCAGCACCGGACAAGCAATAAGGAAACCAAAGATAGTCTGATTTTTAATTAAATGCAAGTTCCAAGTGATGAAGTTCATGGGTAAAACAGATAAATATTCACAATTTTATAACCAGGAATGATGAAGGGTTTCCAGGATGATTACAAGGGAGTTTGAACAGCAGCCAGTATGTTCATTGTATAAATTGTAATAAAGAAGTCAATATTTTTAATAATAAATAAAAACCTGTGTTATAACAAAAATATACGTTTTTCATAAACGAAGCTGCGTGACGCAAACTTCCTTGAACCACTACTGATCTTGAGACGGCCCTGAGTTTTTCTCTTCCGATATTGTCCTTGAATCTACTGATTTCGTCTTTTTCGGTTCGGCAACACTGTGACATAACCTTAAAAACAGCCGAAAAGTTTGCAGATTTGGAAAATGGAAACCCCAATTTTAAACAAAAAACAGCAAAAACAAAGCTTATCTGCCAAAAAATCAAGACCGAAAGAAACGATAAAAAATGTATTATCCACACCTTACGCTGCTTACTGGTAAATTTTAATTTTCTTGCCCACATGCTGTTTTAAAACATTCGAATAAAAATTGTAGGCCCCAAATATCTTCACCAGAAGATAACAGCTTTTTAAAACAAGTACTTGAAACAAATCTACCTAAAATCAGAGTTGAAACTGCAAAGATACCATGGAGAGAACTGAAACACCTTAAGAAACCCGAAAGAAGAGAGTTTCGACGTCAGAAGACCAGTGGACAGGAAGTCGATAAAAAAGAATGGTAAGCCATCGATCATAGGTGATTTTATTTGTCTCTTCATTTTCTTGTTTTTTTTTCATTCCAAACTATATATAATTTTCCAGTGAGGGCCTAAAGCTTGGGGTAAATGCTGTTACCAAACTTCTTGAGTCCAACACAGCTACTGCAGTCTTGATAGCAGGGGATGTCCAACCTAGGTTGATGGTACAACATATCATTGACAATGCAGTTTTATACAAAACCCCAATCTTGATTTTTGCTCAGTTACGTGATACATTAAAAGATAGGTGTGGAGTAAGTAGTGCTTGTATAGCAATAAGTAAAAATTTACCTAGTGAGTCAAAGCTAATACTGGTTAAAGAAGTAGTAGAAACTATTTTTATGAAATGTCCACCTCCCATCAATCATATAAATTATAAAAGAGCATTGGATAGTATATCATCAGAAACTGGAAATGTCACAAAAGAGAGTCAGAAACCTAAAAAATTGAAGCTTGATGAAGCGATTGAAAAAACACTTTGTTTGGAAGAAGTAAGGACCAAAAAGATTACCCAAAAATCATTGAAAAGGACATTATTATGGAAGTTCATGTAGTTACGGATGACTTCACACCATTTTCAGAGCTTAATCAAATCAGTACAGTTTATAAGCATTTAAAAGTGAAACGACTTAAAGGGGATGTTAATAGGAATAAGAAAAAAATTACACATTTAAAGAAACCAAAATAGATAGCTTTTATTAATCATTGTATTTTTCAAGCAGCTTGTAATATATTTTTTAGAGTTTAATAAATACTGGTAAAAGTTTTTACAACTATTTCTTTGTAAAAATATGATATAGAGATTAAAACATTTGAATTTTAATATCATAATTCCCATGTTTAAGGATCACCTTTTTAGTGAATAAAATATGTTATAACCAATTTTACTTCTAAAGTAATACTCATACATTTAGGGCAGTACATATGAGTAAAATTGTTTTTTTATAAATATATGACAATAGTAATAATTGAAAAAGCTAAACATAAATGTTCAACTAGATTCTGCAGTTAGTATAACAGTCTTACAAGTTCTCAATCTGTAGAATAAAATTATTGACTCGAGCACTCTGCAGAAATATTAAAAAAATAAAATCTAAGCTTCCCCAGGCTGCTTCCCATTTTCAATCTTCTCAGTTTGTGTTTTAAGTGGTTGATCTTCGCCAGGGTTTTCAACAACCTTGTTCCAACTTTGCTCTTCTCCAGAGCCAAACACCATGTATACCACTATCTCAACGATGTACAGAGCCACAGTTGTCCAAAATATTATCCTCCAAGAACCTATTGAGTGCTGGAAACAATATTTTTATTAATTTTCTCGTCAAGATTTTCTAGAGGATACCCAACCTTATGGGGCTGTTCTTCATACCGCTGCAACTACACACATTTTCGGCAAAGTCGAAATGGGATCTTTTTAAATGCTCATTAATTGTAACGCTACGTTCATCCAAATGAAACCGAAAATGGTTATAAGGCAGTATCAGACCAGCCTCGGTTATACAGCGAAAAGCAAATTTGTCTGATGGAGCACCGTTAGGACCGATCCGGAATCGATCCTAAACAGATTCGACACAGTTCACAATTCAAAAATGTGTACACTCAAAATAAAACCATTATTTGTAAGGGTTGAAATTCGGAGGTTGTAAATGGTGGGGTGTAAGTAAATTCTAAGCACATAGTAGCCATATTTCACACATCGATTTCCCTGTAAATTTGCCTTTAAAACTTGCACGTTCTCTTGCTATCTAAGCTCACCGCCGGGCGAACCGGTCTGGCTGGCTAATCTATCCGTACTGCAGCACAAAACATATACATTGACCATGCATTAAATATGTAAACGATAAATCGCTGCAGCGATGCCGCGCAGGTGTGGAAAGGAACAATGTTGCCAGATGAACAGTAACTACCGGTAGGACAGGGAAAGAATGTCTATGGACTAATTGTAAGGACCTCTTTTGAACATGTTCATAACTTTTTTCTTAGATGATTCAAATTGAGCTTATGGCGTAGGAAGTGCAAAGTCAACCTACTTGATGCCGTTTTTTAAATACTGGATATTTCAAAATCTCTCTCTGAACTCTCACTAGTCTTTCTTGATGACATAGATGAAAAGGTGGAACAGTGCACCAGTTTTATAAGTACATAAGTTTAAAATAGGCTATTTAAAGCTATTTAATTATCGAGCAATCAACATCATCTTACAATGAAGTTATACATTTTATACACTTCCACAGTTGTAGTATTAATATCGTCGATGAAGTTGAATCACACAGCACGCCTAAATCTTTTATGGAGGTTCATTGCTCCAAAGATTTATTATCGATACTGTAGTTGAACACTAAAGGCGCTTTTTTCCTAAAAAATGTAACAGTTTTACATTTTGCTACATATAGTGACATTGTTAACACATGAATACTACTAAGTGTTCTTTGCAGCCCAATATAATCATCCATATTGATTACTTCAGAAAACATTTTCAAATCATTTGCATAAATCAATCTATTCGATGCAGTTACATTTTCCAGATCATTTATGGATAGATTAAACAGATGTGGTCCCAAATTAAAATATACTTACGTCGTGTTCGGTGAGTTTCCCCACAAAGACAGGTACTATGATCCCCGGTATTGTCGCTACAGTATTGGTCAGTGCCATTAAAGTACCAGCAAAATTTGGCGCGATGTCGATGTGATTTGATAAAAATCCGCAGAACATTCCTCCTATGGACATCACGGCTATAGTCATCACTACTACTGCCATGTTTCTGTGACAGCCTATGTAGCATAGGATTATGAAGCAGATCATTGGCACGATACTGGCACACCCTGTAATAAACGAGACTATATGGATATACTAAGTGACATAGAAAAAAGAACATTCGGTAACAATGAAGTTGTTACAAAAATCAGTAAACATGTCTGTGAGCGCTGCTCTGACAATTTCATAGTTAATACGGAGTTCGTGTCGTGTAGAAATTGCGAAAAACCTTCCACAATCACTGTGTGGCAGTGAAAGCTGATATCCTAAGAAGTTTATCAAAATGTGATAAATTACAATGGTCTTGTGACCAGAGGTGTTGAAAAATAACTATTTGTTACTTGAGTACCCGTTATTCAGAGATACTCGAAGTAACGAGTATCAATCCGAGCACGAAATGATCACTTTGATTACTCTGTTTTCCGTATCCGTACGAGTATTACGTATCTTAAAAGTGACATTTCGTCGGTTTTTTGACATTCCGTAGGTTTTCGTAGGTTTCTCTACAAGATGTTAACTCAGCACAAGCTGTTGTAAACTTCTTGAGAACTCGTTTTGTAGTTGTACGTGTTCCTTAAAGTCAGCGAACAGCGATCATAGCAAGCAATCGTGGAATGAGCTATTTGCACACTAAAAAAAGATACGATGTTTGCATTAAACACGGCAGATTTGAATAAACCATGCTCGAAAAATGTTGCAAATTTTAAGGATGTCTATTAGTAGATGGTC